TCGGGAGCTTTGTGCGTCGCGTCATCGCCCCTTTTGTGAAGGCAATTCGCAGCCAGAGCGCTACAGGTCTGGGTCAAACGTACATCATAAATCTCTACACCTGCTTGACACACACTAATGCTAGTTTCAGACATAACAGAACATCGCAGTACTGCCACAGTGTTTGAACGCACACTGACAAAACATGTGACAGTACTGCACTGTCTAACTGCTCTGTCTCACTGTACTATTCTCGTGTGAAACTAGCATAACATATGAAATGTAATGCGCGACCACTTCAACGTGTTACTCTTGACATTCTACAAACTTACGTTTTAACTAATTTGTTATTATGTACTTTGTGAGTACATATGTACTAAATTATCCGCTATAATATAGTTTCGAATCTACTGTTTGGAATTTATTACTTTCTATGTTTTATTTTTTATTCCTTTAATATTAAAGTATTTTTACTGCTCATATTCATACATTAAATCTGTCATATTATCAAAATGTGGTCTGTGACCTATTTAGCAAAAATATTCGTTCAAACTCTTACATATTGTAGATCTAAAGCTGATAATTTTATTTATAAGCACTAACACTTCAGTGAAGACACGAGACAGCACAAAAATTCATTCAAAGGTCGTAAAACTTCAAAATAGATGAAAATTGTCAATTAACATATGAAATATGGCGTAAGATTGAGAATTATGTCGTTTATACACGTTTGAATTTTGGCTTGAAGCCATATTGTTAGTTTTACTACATATACCTGTTTTTGTGTCTATCAATTTTATAAAAGAAACTCTTAAAAAATTACTATAAAAATTGCCGACCTCTCTGCGCCAATTAGTGTTATCATAATTAAATATCTTGTTTTAATTGTGTTCAATCGCCGTACAAGGTCACATGGATAATAATCAACCGCTAATTAATAAATCACAGCAGTAAAAACAACTGGTTTAATTAAATCTAGCAAAGAAATAAAGATACAAATAGAGTTTATTGCGTCAATGCGCACTAAACAACAAGGTAACAGTGGTAGAGCTCGCTTTAAGATCTTCGCACGAATTGGCGCCGCTCGCCCAGTGAAATACCACGACCACACAGAAGACAGGCGTCAAGTGGAAGCAATTCCGCTTTCGTCTGACGAGTGTGAGTCCCGGAGGCCTAATTTAGCCCTCTTTCGCTTCCCACACTTTTTCTTATAAAGAAATGATGGGAAGTGGAAGTGGACATTCTGGATGAGGGGTTACATGGGAAGGTAAAATATTTTCTTTCTGTGCATCCTCTCAGTCCGTCTATTAAAGGTAGGCAACGCATGTGCAATTGCGTATGTCTGTGAGCAACGGTCACTTCGCTAATACAGCCGATTTCGGGTGGCCGCTTGCTCGCTTGCCATCTTATGATAAAAAAAGGAATCATTTAAAGCGCATTTTAAACGATGTAAAATAATTATTTATCTGCCTCAAAATCTATCTCTCATTGCATTCCAGCTACCTCCATCCTTCAGTGATAAGATTTTAAAGTTTTAGGTGTATACTAATACTAATCAATCTATATGATTTGGCAAAGTTAAGTTTTGTGCACGTCCGACGAGCGACTTGGCAATGCAATGTACGCACATCACAATGGCCGTTCGTCTCGCGCTGATTTTACAACTGGCTGAAGCGCTGCTGACCTGTATTTATGTTAAACGAAACATGGCATTCGAGTTTCACACTGTACCAGGAATTCTTCTATTTTAAGAACGTTTATAGGTGACGAGGCGAACGTAACGAGGCGAAAAATTAAAACAAAACTAAAACGTTCAATGTGTGTTTTAAACCTTTTGAAATGTTTCTTTAAATCTTCATAAATTCATATTCCATGAAAAAATGTAAAGCTTTCAGAAATATGTGAAACATTTTTTTTCATATTCAAACACGTATACATTTTTACACACTTCCTTGTATTTTCGCTTAAAATACACTGCCATTCCTATAGATTCCTATAATATATGTATACTTCCCTGCAATGGAATAAGATGAATAAGTATGTAACGAATCGGTAGTCACCAGCATAAAATGAGATAATCCAGTCGTTTGCTAGCAATAGAGTCATCTTTAACAACAAAATCGCCTACGCTGTACAGTTTCCCTGTAGAGCCTCATTAGGTTATAGTCAAAGTATCGGCAAAAGCTCTACAATGATTCAAATTAACAAGTCGACAATCGTGCAAATGGCGTGTGGGTGATGTCCCAGGCAGTCTGACACTGTTGCAGGACGTCTGGTGCGTCATTAAGGAGGTATTCAGGGAGCACCGACCACCGACAATATTCTTCATTTGCGTACCGGGCGTTCGTCATTTGGCGCATTGTGACGGACGGGGCTGGAGGCCGCCCTTACTGCAGCGATGCACCACCGCCTTAATTGTACCCTTGTTCGCTGCTCTAGGCTCTAGGTGTTACAATTTACACTTCATTTGCGTATGTTCCCCGGTGCTTTGGACTTTAGTGTCTTCATTTCAACCGTTATATTTCACATATCATGTTTTAGTGTAATAAAAAAGAAATATTCTTGCAACGTTCTTAATAAAAACTCATAAGATACCCAGAAAAGGAAACACAGACTGTGTTGGACCACCTGGCCAAAAAATTGAATAGCATTTTAAATTCAAGACGGAGTACGTCAATTCTGTGTAAAGCTTGAAACCATTAACAAATTTTAACAACCCGGTCCTTGAAAGCTCAGGTACATGCGAAATGTTTGTTCGGCGTTTTATACGGAAAAAAACACGCCACAAGGACGCTGTTGTTCGAAGAGGTCGCCTGACCAAATAGAGCAGTACAATTTGTAAAATAAAAATTAAATTCCACTTCTTGACTTATTATATAGTCTACATACAAAATTAAATTGTATGTTATTAATAATACTGGCATTCACCTGTCATTTTAATCTAATCTAAATCTAACACCGCATACAAATATCATCTTTAAATCTATGGGAAATGGGTTGAAATTTGTATACCCGTGTATTACAGACTAATGTAAACGGAGAATACCGGACAGGTTGAATAACGGTGCATTTGTTTTCGTAATAAAAGCCTCAATATCTTTGGACTGTGAGTCACCGATTACTACATTATATTCATCTGGACGTAATACCCATGATAAATGAGACGCATTAAATTTAAACAAAGATTAATTATGAACACCAAGTTCACTTTGGTAAGTCGTAACAGATATTAATTTTATACAAGGACGTGTAATTATGAAAACACTTAAATTAGATAAATTATCGAAAAATAACACGTTGATATATATTAATTGGTAAGTCCAGTGACGTTTTAAATACACGATTATTTGAAAACATATATTTTTCTCAGTCTCTGAATAAATTGGAATAACAATTTGTCTTTATACGAAAGTTTTGCAGAAAAGAAACCTACGGGTAGAGTTTACTTCTATTGAACACAGACTGTCGCCCGCGACTCTGTCCGCGCAGATAAAAAAAACTAAATTAGTAGCCATGTGTTCACACGGACTATGTTCTACGTCTATGTCAAATTTCAGGGAGATCCATACAGCCTTTCTCGAGATACCTTATAACCATCCATCCATCCACACATTCGCATTTTTAATATTAATATTATTTGTGTCAAATAATAATACAAGTATATTGACTTAGATTTAATTTAATAAAGTTTACATTATTGAATTAATTCCAAATTGTGGGGACCTCTTTCTTGTAAGCCGACACCTATCGTCTGCAACGAGTCTATACCTGCACCTTTCGTGGCGGCCAGTCCTTTTCCAATTTAATTTGTTTTTATTTTTTGCACCTTTAAATAGGTACCTTAAGAATCAGTGGGTAAGCATATTAAATTAAAAATAAACGGGCAAAAAGTGCAATCATCCTTATTTGTTATTTATATTTTCAGACATATTATGACCATTGTTTTCTTAATTATAAAGAGAAATAATTTTTATTTCTTATTTGAGTGTACGTAAATTATAAATTACAGTGATGTATAATAAATTACCATAATGTAAATATTAAATACCTTTGTATCAACGAGGACGTGAGTTTAACATTTTTTACAATTAAAGCGTCACTTAAAATTAAGTGACAATTTAAACTTTTTCATTAAAAATTAATTTGATCAAAATATCTACAAACATCCTGTATACAATTCAATCTAGCTACAATGAATTGAGTAGGACATTATTGGTCACATAGGTATACTTTTTAAATCCGTGTATTTTTATTATTTAATACATCATGCCAGAATTATATTCCGACATTAATTTTTTAAATAAAAAATATATGAGACAGATTTATATTTCTGAAATTATAAGGCAAAAACACTTAACCTTTAAATTATGAAATTAATATTGTTGATGTTTGTGACCATGGAATGTCAATTAGTAGTATCAATTAGCACTTGTACCAATGACAGTTCAGAAAGTATACATTTAAACGGGTTCAAAAGTTGTCGGCACGGGTCAATTGACGTGAGAAAACATGTCGGAGCTGACTGCTAGTAGACTGTGTCACTCGTGCACGCATTATAAAGTCCTTATTAGCCAGTCGTTTGCCGACACGACGTCGTCAAAACTTACTACGACTTTATTTTACTTCAGTATGCAAATGCACACCAATTAGCGGGGCTTGCATTTCTTGCTACGTATAACTCATTATTTCAACAGGGATTTTTTTTTAGACCGTACCGCAAACGCAGTAATTAACCATGAACGGGACGGATCCTTTAACGGCCACTTATTAACTTCTAATCTGTGTTAGAGACCGTCGATCTAAATGAATTCTGTTAAAGTATTAACTATTAGATGAAGGCTGCGGCCCTCACTAATATTTAAAAACTTAACGTTCATCGTCGTAATGACGACTCGGCGAGTATACAAGGGGGAGGCGAATTAATCAAATAATACGGCGCGGTGGAGCGGGGCGGCGGGCGTCCCGCGCGCCGTCGCCCTCCCCCCGCTCCGACCGCGTGGCCACCTCAGTCGCGACCGAAACGCCGTAAGGGGAAGTGTCGTCAGTCCCCGTAAACATAACTACTTTTTTCGCAGTTCCACACAGTTTTGTTTTAAAAGTTTCAAAGGAAGTTATGTGCGTGAGTCTCTCGTCCTTATAGACTCTTGAAGGATACGTGACTGGTCTCCACTGTGTAGTTTGTACAGTTTATACGTTTAATTGTGTTTATTTTTTGTTATTGTTAAGTTTTTTGTTTGGTGCATCTCGCCGGTCCGGAGACCGGCGGTCCCACGGAGGCATCAAGCCTGGACGCACAATTAAAGGACCACAAAGGACGAAGCCTTTAGGTAACTATTTGTGTAAATTTTATAAATTAAATATGCAATACAAATATTAGCTTTAATCAAGGTTATAGAAAGGTGCTAGTATTATGCATAATTGCCATCACTAAAATGTCAACAGCGTTCTTTAATGTATTGTTGACATCCATGAAAATAACGTTTAAGAAGCGAAGAAAGTTATGTTTTGTTTATGAAAGCAAGGTTTGTAATGTAAAATGAATTGCGGATTGGACCGGACCGTACACGATGGCCTACTTAAACCAAATTTATTAAAAAAATTAACATGTTTACGGTAAAAAATCATACCAAAATATGATACAGGATCTGTTCTCGGAATTATCTATCTACGAATATAAATATTCATTTTGAAATAACCTCATTTGTTGCTTTAATATTTAGTTATAGTTACTAAACCGTCAAATTTGTACCTGGAACCACGTTCCTTTTTATTTATACTCGGGCTCAACTTGTGTGTAATAAATACGTTATGAATATTCACTTTATTTTATTTGTAAAATATACAAAAATGAACGGAATTATAAAAATCACATACAATTACTTGCAAATATGTAGGAGGTATTCTGATTGATACATCAAACCAGTATGTTGTATTCATAACCGAGATCAAAGTAAAGCTTTGTGTAAGTGAATGTATGTAAATGGCTAATACAAAAGACTGTTTGTCTAATAATAATTTTAGCATAACTTCGTGCTAGCCTGCGTAACTTTCTCTAATATTATGCGAGAGACCATTGGCCGAGATTAAATTAATTTCGAAAATATGGCTAAGCAATATTATGTGGACCACTTCATTTCATCGCCGGTTTAATTAAAAACGAGTGGCCGCACCCCTCCCTCCTTTTCGGGTTGAAGTGAGTGCCCCCTCCCCCGGACCGCGCGGGTGTCTCGCCCCGCTTATATTTAGATAATTGTACAATCATCTAAATTAATGAGAGTTTCATCCGGTACTGGATTCTATTGTTTTTTTATTTATGTCAACCGAGGAGGTCACACTGTGACGATTTCATTTTTAAGCGTGATTTTCTCTTAAACCAAATTTTCGGATGTTTTTTGTTCGGAATATTCGGCCAGCGTTGCTCTGCATACTTTTATAAATGTCCGCTATTGGAGAGGTGTTCATAACTCGCACTGATGACTACACTGATAGAGCTGAATGCAATTAAAAGTTTTACTACGTGCGTGGACGAGGCGCCCTCGCGAATATCCACCTTAATTTACGTTGGCGATAAATTCAAACTTTTAAAGAGTCAATTAATAACTTATTTTATCAGTGTCTACGTATCATAGGTAAACATTAAATTAAAACTTTTAATAGCGACACTTATTTACAATTCAATTAGTTGTAATACAATAGGGAGAAGGTGCATCGAGTTAAATTAATTATTAGTTTGTATCATGTATTGGTTTAGACAAATTAAATACATGGTGCGGTGCGGTGCGCTGTAAGGACGGCGGATGGAGTGGGCCCGTCTCCCCGGAAGGCTCCGGGCGATCCGTCTAATGAACCCACACCCACCCTGCAGCCTGATTTATTAACGAATTAAATGCATTCTGGTGCACCCCCTATATAACTGACCGATACACGAACATGTAACATTTTAACAACACTTAGTGATAATTATTCTTTTACAACCCGTCATTTATTAGAAGATGCAAAGTAATTAAAATTTTGATAAACCACGATGTGTGTTCATAGATCAAATTAAATTATCAAAAAACACGGCTGAACTATAGTCACCCTAACTCTGTTCTATAATGCATTGAAAACAATATTTGTAATCTGTAAATGGAAATGTCGAATTAAGCTTTATTTTTTGACTACTTAAAAAGCTCACATGGACACGGGTCGTGAAGGCGGGGATCTTAAAAATTGCAATGAATCACAATCTTTCAATAAACAAAAAAAAGGTGTGGTATAGAAATTCAAACCAGGGAGGATATCATTTACTCAAATGAGGATAGTAAAAATCTCTTTTAAATTAGCCGTAATGTAATTTAAAATTAACAAGGAAGAATACTACACTGTTAATCTAAATGCATTTCGTTGACCTCAAGAAGCTTACGCAATACCTGCACCGGGAATTAAAAAAAAATTAAACAAAGATTCATATAACCAGTCTCATGAGTAACTCTCGTAGTTACCCCTCTCTCGCACTCGGTTCCTTATATTTAAATTGCAACAAAACAACTCGCTTGCTATGCTAATGAAGCTTGCTTAGAACCACTTGGCGTTCGCTGTGGAGGTTTCGAAAGTTGAGTAATCTCGAATTAGATTGCTTAGTAATAACAATAATATGCACTCCAAATGCCATTCACTACAAACGCCTTGATTTATTGTGTCTAGAAGTCGAAGTCCCATATTGTGTACAAGCACGAAAAACTGGATTCAATAATTATACAATTCTATGACTTAATAAGTACTAATTTATCTCATAGTTAATCGAACATAGTAATTATGGTTAGGTCTAAATACCGCCGGCCAGTATAAAATTAATTAATTAAGAATTATTTGAGGCATAGACTAATAAAATTCTCCGTTAATATCTTGATGTAGTTCACTGTTTAAGAGGGAGCTAAAAGTATTATTGTAAATTTCATTTGTCAAAATCCTAGACCCTATATGTTCTTCCTAATAAGTGGCTTAATATATTGTAGTAAATAAAACAAATATTTTCATTAATTGAATCAACAAACGCCGTAGCCTAAGGTGCCTGATATATGTAGCACAATCTATTGTTCTTAATCCATCAATCATTCATTTTATAAATTCTGTTGCGTATTTGTCGGCGTCACTTTCAATAATATATTAAAACCTCTTCGTTCGTTAGTAGAAGCTGCTCTAAAATGCAGAGTAATTGCGACAGGTGCGCGTTCCCACGTGCCTTTTATATCATCTATTTATTTAAAAGATTTATATCAACAATACGTATTGATTATGTTTTTATAGCATTTTATATGCCTTTTATGTTTATTTTTTTATTTTTTATGATTATTCGAAGACACATTTTATGCCATTTAGGAATGAAAAAAAATCTCTATAGCGCCTATTCAAACCTTTAAAACTATATTACGCTTTAAACAAAGCTTTATCTCCACAACAGGTAACATTAATTATTTCTACGTTATGTAAATTTCTCTATATGTAAAACTTAAAAGATAAGAAGAATATCCCAAACTGTCTTCAAAGTATGAAAGAAAGGTCAATTTATTCGACACCTCTCACACGTTGTCAAGTTATATTATCAGCATTTGTAAACTATGAGAAAAGTTGCAAGGATTCCAATGATTTAGCCATCACACGTCGTATATTGTATATTTTAAGTGAAGTTTGGGGTGGCATGTTTATAACGCGTGTTTAATAATTTAGTGCCGCCGCTGCGAGGACCCTCGCCGGCCCGTCTGCTAAATAATTGATGCAACAATAATATGGCTACGAACTCTAAGTATATTAAAATAACCCAACTTTGAACACGAATTGATACCGACAAAATTCTCTTACATTTGACATTTACAAAAAAAAAACAAGTATAAGAATCAGGTTTAAAAAAAAACTTTGACAATTATCTGCTAAGACTGAAGATTTAAAATTGGGTTTTATGCAGTTAAGCTTATTTTAAATTTTGATGGTAACACAATTTACGGGCAAGATTTTTTTTCGTGATAGATTTAAAGTAAATCACACAGGATATCTAAAGTTCTTAAAGGAATTTTCATTGAGTGAGGCTCAGTGGCACACCTGCTTTGATATCGCTTGCCCTCTCGCAGGCCGTAAGTCCACATCGACCAAACCGGTTACAATTACAGGTTATGACCACTACAGAGTTAGCTACATATCCGTTTGGCGGAAACGAATCTCTCGACCTCTTTGCATTTTCAATTATTGTCCATTTAATATTACATACAAAATTTGCCTTGTATAATTCCTTGCCATATAAACAAGACTGCAAGAAAGTATTACTGTTACCTTGTTACCTTTATAAATAAATTACTATATCTGTGTATGGAGATTTTCATATTGGTGTATTTTGGACTCTAAGCCATAAAATTCAAAGAAAATTAAATGGAATACATTTGGAAGACTCTATTAATTTGAAACTGTAACAAATGTTCGTTTATATTTTCTTTAACTATACTTATATAATGATCTTCATAGCGACGTGGTATTTATTTTACGCCACACGAATACTTCAGCTTTTATAATAGCTTTCCAGGAAGTTATAAATATCATCTTGACATCGATAGACTCTTCGCGCTTACGTTATTAGGATGAACTCGATCGAAAAGTAAATTCTGACGTCTATTTCTGGTAACTATCGTGACAGTTTCCTAATTAATGCTATTAGAAACAAAGCATTCACAATCGCGTGTTTAAAAAGGTTCACTTAAATTCTAATATACTGTGTATTTGCGTCATAACATTAAGTTGGAAATCTGTTACCAACCGGAAAACAGTGCCGTTTCTTGCTCATTCAGTTGTTCAACAATACTTTTATTAAAATAAACTCTAATGTGTTAAATCCGCGATTAAGACTGACGTATTTTACTTCAAAATTTAAAGAAATAAAATATTACCTTTAATCGATTAATAATTATTAAAATGTGCCCAGTACTTTTAGACTTTATTCACAACTAGCGGTTGCCAGCGACTTCGTCAGAGCAGAAAAAAAAATAGCGTTACTCTCGCACGCATTAAGCTTACCTTCCAGTAAAAGTCCCTTGTAAATCTGACAGACAGAAATGAATATTAAAAAACGTTCGGTACATAGAAATACAAAGAAACTATCATAGTAGGTAAATAGAAGTCAATTCTCAACGGTTTCTTAAATGAAGATAATTTTTTATGAATAATTTAAAATGGCAACGAACTCACCATAAACAATTTATTACCTTACATAACGACCACTTATAATTTGACGTTTTACAGTCCATAAACGTTACAAACAATGATAATAAACAAGATGTGCGCAGTCGCACGCCTCGACGAC